TTAAACCTCAGAGCTATGACGCAGAGCATAGTTACATTATTTTCTTGTTGGTTAGAGTGTTGAGCTTAGAAATTGCATGGTACATCACTGACCCACAGTAAAAAAGTTTCCACTCATCTGATGCATAAAGAGAAATGAAATTGCTGAGCAAATCAGCTTGCATTGACAAATCCTCTCTCAATGAGTTAAAACTGAGTGATCAAGCACCCCTGAATGCAGACCACACGTACATATTATTTCAACCAAAACAGTTGCCTTCCTCTAACCTTCGTCAATCAATTTTGTCATCCATCAATCAAATCATTATCTACCTCATACAGCTATGGTGACTATAAATTTTAAAATCATTACAAATGTAAACGACACTTCTTGACCTTTCTATTTCAGTCCATGATGAATTTCAGAATTAGTTTTGTGAAGTATATTACAAGTGTTTATAATAACTTTAATTTAAATTATTACAATAGCTTCATTTGCTCTCATTTTGATTGAGGCCGTTATCATTCTCTGTGTTATAGTATCGATCTTTTAAAGTACTGCGAATACTACAGATATTTCTAGTATGATATTTGAGGAACAGCAAGTCGCTAATAATATAAAGTGTTCTCTGGTCTTATATTCATTCAGAAGAGCTCGATGAGAACAAAAATAGAATAATTAGAATAACATGCGTTATATTATTTGGGTCACCGACGTAGAATGAAAGCTTGCAGTTCGCAGCAATATCGTACGAGAAATAATATCTCAATTCCATGCATCATTTAACACTACGCTGTGGCCACATGGTCAGAGCCAAGTACGGTGTTGAATGGATTAAGTGGCCGGCAGTCAGAAATGTTTGGCCACATTTTCATAGATGTTCTTTTGAACCTCTTGAGGTTATCAAAGCTCAGTGATGTCGAAGGATTTCTGAAACTATGTTTATTTCTTGAGTTTACGAAATGCGCGACCTTGGATATCCTTAATTAGTTCGCTTGAGATATATGGCAGGCGAGTTAAGGCCACAAACATGATATTCAATGGCTTCGCCCAAGTCATGTAACAGGAAGTTCAAGTTATTTCACGAGTTAAACTATTTTTACCTAGTTTCGCGATGTTTCTGACTCAATAATATTTTTTTTGGCTAAAGAACTCAAGCGGCTTGTCACTTTCAAGCGTGGCGAGAGAACAAGCGACTCCTCCTTTTTCGTTTACTTAATGTCTGTTTTGCGCGTTTGGCTACAATAAAAACGACCTTTTGAAAATTTCTATTTAAGATTGAAGAAAACCTATTTTAGTGTAAAATAATGTGATCGATCAGCTGATACGTTGATCATCGTTTCATGTCAGCAATGGAGTTAAGTGAAATACCGCAAACCCCCATTATAAGGGAGTGCAACAATAGAGGTTGTTTTTGGTTTTGTTTTTTTTTTTTTTGTAATCAAATAAAGAAGAGCGCATTTCAATCCCTGCACGATAAGTTCTACTCTGCGTGATTAATGCTGGTGCAGTGCCTCCTACGTGCGTGACCTTGACAATCACTCTTGACAACTTCTCTCGAAAAAGTAAATTATAATGAATTTGTCTTATGATCTCTCGAAAGGAGAATAGGATATCGATGAGAAACTAAGGTGAAGAAAAAACGTAAAGCATCATTAAAATGGCATCAGGGCGACAATGGAGCCCGATTTCACACGACAACCACATGGATCGGCATTCATTGAGGTCTGGATGACACATTTTGGATTTATGTTCCAATTGCTCAAAAAGTGCCTTCGATACATCCACAGGCACTCGATGGCTCGATAGCCTTAAGAATCAGCCTCAAAAGATGTACAGTGTCATGAAGAAATATGATGATTTGAAAAATGGATGCTCTCATTCGGCTGCGATCTTTTTTTTTTTTTTTTTTTTTTCTTTTTTTCACGACAGATGTTTGAATTGGGAGAAACTACTTTGCAGCTGTTTCGAGACACACTGCCGGCTATTTTGAAAACCTATGATAATCAGAGGTTGAGCACTGGCGTAAACCAATCGATCGGGTAGTGAATTTTGCAGACATTCTGTCCCTTTATCTTTCAATCGATCGATCGATCGATCGTGCTATCTTAAAACCTATCTGAGAAGTTATATATTTTAATCGTACTCGGTATCACTGCAATCGGATGATTTTCATTCTTTTAATCACTATCTGCCCCGACGGGGTTTTGAAGGCATGTGACTCTTACATTATAAAGTGTACTTCTAAATACACCAAAAAGTTGCAAAGTTGTCAATGGTAAGCAGATAATTTTGTACTCTATCTATAGCCCAAAATTGGCACACACGTTATACAATCCGAAACCTTTTTCACTTGATGTTTGTCAAAATTATTCTTGCGACATTTGTTCGCGTGATCCCTTTTTATGACAACTAGTTTTCCCATATCTTCACTTTCCCTCATTTTGATTGACACGGTAATCACTCTCTTTGTTACAAAATTGAGTCATCAAGGAATCAAAATCCTAAATACAATAAATAAATCTAATATGAGAGCTGAGGAATAGCAGTTCTCTCATAGTTTTGTTATCTGCACGCAAGACTGCACGATAAGAAAAGAATTAGAATAACGTGAAAAATATATATAATATTTCATGGGTCAACAATAAGGAATAATAAAGGTTTACCTCAGTAGGTTGTAATAGTATCACATCTGAAGCTAAGTGAGATACCAACCAGTAGCAATTATATATTCGATATCTAATGTGCACGGAAATCCGGCACATTTTACTGAAACCACAAGTGCAACCACAGCACGTTCTTCAACGCCGCAAACGCGATATGCAATGGCTCCGTTAGGTTTATCAGTTTAGCGGATTAGCACTATCTTTCCTTGTCTCATCATGCTCCTAGCTCATCCAAAATCTTAATTCAGTAATTCACTCCACAAATTTGAGTGGCTTATCAAGGTTACGCTTAGAGAGAGAACAGCCCACTCTTCTCTTATTCTAATCTATCCATAAACACTTTTTTTGAACTCCCAAAAATAATCAAACTACCCAAAATACTCGTAAAGCTTAAAAGATAAGTGATAAAAGTTCCCTAAGAGTAATTTTCAATGCGTTTCAGCGAACAAGATTTATGGATATCTTTTAGACGCCCGATAAGCTACTGTCGGGATTAGACTAAAGAATCTGCTATATTCCGAAACTTCACATATTTACAAAATTGACTTGATCTCCCTCTCTCTCTCTCTCTCTCCTCTCTCCTCTCTCTCTCTCTCTCACCGTTCTCGTCTCACGCTCCGGTCATCCTTATCATTTTAAATATATAATGTGATCCTATTGTTCAATCATCTGTCACTTACCGCAAAAACTCAACCAGAAATCAATTAACGCTGAATAATCTCACACTATTTCGGGTGCAATAAGCGCTAATCATCGGCAATTCCTTAGCATCTTTGTCTTACGTCAAATGTCAAGGTGAAAGATTACTAACAATAATAAAGAGACAAATTTACACAATCAACTCCCTTACCGACGCAGCACAACAATGTCTCCAGATACGTACCTCCTTTATCCATTTTTAGTTCTCGATGTTATTTTTCTTTTTTTTTTTTCTTTTTTGTTTTTATTATTATTTTTAATTTTAGCCGTCGTTAATAATGTCGCCGGGTTATCTCACTTATTTCCCATCTTTCTCAAGAAAAATGAAATTAACGCCGTTGTTGTGAAGAAGCCGGTTTGTATAGACCTTCCAATCATAGTGATGAGTAGATTTACCAGAACAATAAGAGTCCCCTTTTTGGAGATTTTTATCAAAATCCAAAATTAAATATATCACGGATTGGCACAATTAGCTGAAAAAGGTCAAATGATAGTTTGATCATGGTGTTGGGGGTTAGTGCATGAACTTGCACTGATAAACGATGACAAAGAAAGGAGATACCATTAAAAAACTTCGGCTTCTTCCTGATTAAAATTTGCTTTAAAAGTTGGCTTCAGTCTTAATTCATAATGTTTCCTTAATTTTTGTAATGATAATCGGTTTTGCCTGACGCCGAAAATATCGATGTCTACCTTTTCCGGTGGTTTTGATATGGTTTAAGAGGTTTGTTCGTTTATGGCTGGATTTGATAAAATGCAGTCTTCAGAATCTTGCGAGCAGAAAGGTCCACTGGAACCGCTCTAAAACTTGCAAAGTCTTGTACATAGCGGCAACCTGAGGCTGCTTTTATCTTCCAAACAATAGACAAGAAAAAGCAGACAAAGAGTCTTCTACTTCATCAATGTAATCTTTAATCTTTTCAAACCAGTGACAGAATCTCTGGTATTTTGCTTAAGTCCTACTGTGACATGAAAGGTTGGTCAACGTTTCAGCAGTCCGTTCATGGCGTGCAGGACCCAAAATAGCTTTGTGCCGTTTAAGGAGATGTATTCAGAAGGTGTTTTGGATTGTGGCCAAACCCGTGAAAAATGCACGAAGCCAACTGAACATTTTTGTCTTGATCCAAATAGTTTCCAGGGGTATCAGTGTCTTTTTTGAACCGGACAAAACTGTTTTGTGGCAAATACCGGGTAGTTAAACAAAGTTTAAAGACGCATTAGAAGTTATTTCGGGTACAATGGGCCCTAATAAGAATGACTGACACCCTAACCTTCATTCATGGTGGGCTTTATGATGGACTTGACTTAAATTCAAAACAAAATATCAGAAATCTTTCGCTAGCAGAAGAAGATACAAGCGCTAACAAAATATATTTTGCAGCATATCAATTTGAAACCAGAAAACTATTCGTTACTGAAAAACAGAAAAGTATAAATCACTGTGGTAAAACTTTTAAAGTTCAGAATCCGAAAATAACATTTATAACATAGCGCGAATGCTTGACCTATATAAGTCCTGTTGAGCCGCTATGAACAAAATCTTTATTTGCGCACGCCCGTGCGTAAATAGGATGACGTGAGCATTTTTTTTTTTTAACCTGGCTTCAGAGTTTCCGTCCTGTTAAGCTGCAGTGCAGTTTTCCTTCTCTTTGAAATATGGAAGAAACCAGCGAAGAACTGCCCAATTTTTCTATCGACATTAACCTTTTAGGTCTTGATCCAACAAGCAACAAAAATAAAACCGAAAGACATTCGCTGGGAACCAAAAAAGGTCACCAATCGGTCAATAACAACATTGCAAGGTAAAATTTCCGTTTTTGTTGTTGTTTTTTTAAATTTGTTCCACCTAATAATAAAGTAAACAGTTGTTGATTGGGAATTTACCAAAACCAAAACAATCAAGGCCGCAAAAAATCTAAATGCGACAAACGAAACAACAAATTAGTCACACTTTGTCTCAAAATTAAATCTCTTTTCTCTTAGAATTTAGCTCGGTGGAAGGAGAAAAAATCCAGACACAGCTGAAACGTTTGTCGCCGGGCCGACTAATCGCACGACACGTCAGTCCGGTACTTTCTTCTTAACAGGTTCGGCATTCTTAATCGCTTATTTCTATACAGATCAATACTACCAAACTATTTCGTTTGAAGCATGCCTACTTCCGTTTACGCGTGGTCGTGCTCTATGACAATTTCTCAACATAATGATGACTACTTCATTTGCTCTGATATTAATAGAAGCTGTTATCATTGTCTGTGTTCTGGCATCCTTTCAAGCATCGCGTTTACAACAGATATTTCTTGTATGATATTATAGAAACAACAAGTCTCGATAAGAACGCAATTAGAATAATTTATTAGGAAGGAACTAGCTAACGAGCACACCATGTTCGGTGAAAGACACCAATACTCTCGAAAATGTTTTTTTCACCTTTTTTTTTAATTACTCGGCTCTCTGGATCCAACACACAATTCCACTAAAATTCAAGTTTATTTCAAGTTGTGTAACTGTTGTTAATCTCTAAGGTTCTCACACTCTGATTCTCACTGAATTCTTCTTCTTCAACTACAGAAGTTTGACTCCACTCTTCTGCACTATGTCTTCATTTTCCTAGTCTGCTTTCCTCTCTCTTCTCTCCACTCTCCTGAGTAAGCTACAAAGAAAAAGCTTTAATAGTCACTACTGACAGATGTAGGTGGGCATGCCAGCCAGCTGACCTTGGGAGAGAACTTTTTTTGTTGTAACACTAAACCAAACAATTTCACGAGACTTTCGAAATGAGCAATGAACAATGCGGTCGTTCAACAGAGTAAACCTCTGATTGTGTCAGCCAAAACATAAACTTCCGCGTGGGTCCAAAGCAAGGTCAGTAAGCAAACTAATCACGCCCACCTAAAGAAGTTAGACGAGACTGTCACAAGTCGGAAATTCGTCCCGTCAGCTTAAACCTAAATAACATCGGAATTCGAGTTGACACGTTAAATACACTCTAAATAGAAACGAAAGATAAAATCATTAAATCAGTTCTAGCTTCTTGAGTGCTCTCCAAACTTCCCAAGTGCTTCATATCTCGATGAACGCACACCGGACGTATGAACCAATTGTTTTATAACATTTTCAACCCGATAGAAATTTTTTTTCTTTCTCGAGGGATTTGTTTGTTAACGTCATGAGCGTGCACAATAGGAATATGAAGCACGCTCACGCAATTTAACTTGATTAGACAAATTTACTAGCTATGTTAACTAAATGACGAACTAATTATCAACTGGCAGAATAATTCATAACAAATTTATTTTAATAACATGCCAGATTTTTCTATCGCCACCAAAGTTATAGACAGACGCACGTCAGCAATTTTTCTGCATTATAATATTACATCGAACACTTCAATCCAAATCACCTCGTAGTAATCATTACACAATACGCCGCGGTTACTTTTGCAGTCCAAAATGCGGATTTAAATGGAATAAATACCTTGCGGTTAAAATTTTTTTTGCCAAATTTTCAATACAAACCGTGGTGTTTTAGAGGTTTCCCAAAATCATGTTGATTTTGTAGATAATGAAATAATTGCACGGGCGGAGGTATCCTTTATGGTGATGTTCAAAGCTCCGCCCGCATTATCTGACGATAATTTCAAGTTATTCACCGAGTAAAACTACTTTCTTTACTTTCGCGATGTTTCTAGTTCAACGAAAGACTTATACAATAAAGACCTTTGCTTAAGAACTCAAGTGGCTTATTACCTTTATGCGCGCCAAGAGAAACTGCTGGTTCACCTTTTTTTTTTCCGTTTTTACCCGGTATCCGCTGCAAATGGATTTCTGGATTAGGAAATACTCACGCGAAAACTATTTGCGATCAAAACAAAAATGTTCAAATAGTCTTTGGGTGCATTTTTTTTTCATGCGTTTGATCACAGTCCAGACGACCTTTTGAACGGTCAGCTGAAATCTTCACCGTTCTTTAATGTCAATGAATAATGGATCTCAATAAAAGTACCATGAATTTTGCATTTGGTCATAAGAAGTTTAATTACACAAGGCTTGAAAACAGAGGATTTTTTTTTTTTTTTTTTTTTTTTTTAGATGGTTTATTTTATTTGTTTTCTCTTCAGCCGCTGAGTAAATGTATAGTTATTTTCGCTTTCCAAAGTCTGAAGACTGCGTTTGATTAAACAACAGCTAATTATGGACATGTCCAAACTTCCAGACAAATTGAATAATGTAAATGACTCTGTTGTCGAGTTTTCACGATATCGGATAAAGTCAGGTACGTAATCTAAGGAGAGCACGTGCGCAACTGAAACAATTCATTATCAGGGCGGTAAATGCAAAAGATGATCGCATGTAACAGAACAAGGTTGAGAGTAAGGAAATTCTAAAACCGTTCACTGCCTGTAAACTCATCCTAATTGCAAAAGCTAGAAACTCCCCGTCAGCGGGATTGGTCACATTGGAACCTAAGCCATAAAAATAATAAAGAAAGAAATAAAGAAATAAATAAAAATAAACAATGAAGATAAAAATATATCATTTGTTGCTTTTAATAATTGGATCGGTTAACAGCCAGCCACGGTGGCTGTGTTTTCATATCTCCATCATCATAGTTCGTTATGGTAATTAGAGAGGAGCACAAACGCAAATAAATCAATTTTAAGTTATTTAGCGGAAGATGCATGCGTTATTCGCATATGGCAGAACACTCTGCACCTCCTAGCTTGAATGGAAGGATATTCTTCTCGAAACGATCGTTGGTGGAAAATTTTAAGAAGAAAAGCCTCTAAGATCGTGTAACATATAAGGCCCTGTCTGGACGAATGCACAATAATGAACTTTATCGGTGTTTACTTAGCCTCATCTTACTCTAGAAGGGTTGGAAGAATTTGATAAGTTATGAACAGAGATATCTCGTAACGGTCATTCATAAAATTAGATTATTACAAGTAGTGAAGGGAAGTATTATGCTGAGACAAGAGATTATTGGCAGAGAAAATAGGTCCACCTACCTGTCAGGTAATAAGAAACAAATGAGGGTAAAGTCCTATCAGTTTATAAAACTTGCCGCCACATTTTCTGTTTAGTTTCTCACTTTCTTTGTGGTCGCATATGCGTGTTGCATACCTCCAAAGAGTTACGCCCAAATCATTACAATGAGAAGTCCTCAACGACGAATATGTATGTAATACCGGCTGTTTGGTAAACAATTTGCAGTGCATATAATTTTCCGCAAACACTGTGGTCATTTTTGTTTCCAAATATAGGACTTTTTGTGAAACAAGTATGTCATTTAATACTAGAACTCTTCAATTTGAAGAGGCAAACAGTTGTAACAACGTTTATACCATGGGGTCTGCATGTATAACTTAATTTTGCAACGTGCAAGAATTCTCGAGAGGCTTTCTTTTTATCATCAATCAGTCGACTGAGAAAATAGGTCCACTCACCTGTTAGGTAATATAAAACACATGAGGGTAAAGTCTTATCAGTTTACAGAGCTTGTCGCCAACTTTTCCTTGTAGTTTCTCATTTTCTTTTTGGTGGCATATGCGTGCTGCATACTTCCAAAGAGCTACACCCAAATCATGACAATGAGACGTTCTCAACAAGGAATAGACATGTTATTATCAAGTATCATGAGAGTATATGGCTGCTTTATCGTGGCTTTCGTAATGCTGTGAAATTCCAGTATCAGTTGGTTTCGCGCAGACCTTCGTGTCTGATCATGTCTGGTCACATGACGAGTGGCGTGAGCAGCCACTCAGTACTTTTACTCTATGTATTTGATGATTCATGTAATTTTCCAGTTTTAATTTCAAGTCTAGAAGATAATGTCAAACCACCATTTATTGACTACCGTTCAATGACTTGACAGTCGGGGACTGTTTCTGGTAATCATCAGTCCAAGAAAGGGAAGTCTGTCGTTGTTCTCAGGTTACATTGTGAAGCTGAGTGAAGGGTGGATTTCATTCAGTGTTGACAAGAAAACAGAGGCAGATGAAACATCGGGCATTTTGCTGAGGTTTTTTGGAACAAGGGGTTTGACGGCACTTTGTTAAGCAGACATCTTGTTTTGGTTTTCCAATTTTTCTTCAATATGGCACATAAACGCATTTGCCATTAGTGGTCCGAGAGGAGAGCTCATGGCAACCTTATCCACTTGCCCGTAAAAATTTCCGTCGAATTGGAAAAGGTGTTTTTTTATGTTTTTTTGTTTTTTTGTTTTTTGTGATGTTAAGGGCATATTTCCTATTTAGACAGTTGCCTTCAAACGCTTTCTCTGCTAAGATTTTGATGCTTCGTTGGCCTCTGTTTTCTTGTCAATGCTGAATGAGATCCACCCTTCACTCAGTTTTACAATGGAACTCGAGAACAACGGCAAACTTACCTTTCTTGGAATGATGATTAACGGAAATAGTCCCCGACCAGAAACGAAGGTCTACGCGAAAACAACTGATACTGGACTTTTATTGCATCACCAAAGCCATGTTGACGAAAAGTACAAACTGTCTCTGCTGAGGATAATGCTAAACCGTGCGTTTAGTCTACTCGAACTGGATTTTTTTCCATCGAGAATATGAACGTCAAAAAAAGGCTTTTGCGTGAGCCGACACTTTCATCAACGTGTGGAGGAACACAAGTAATCAAAACTCGGTAATCATGTAAAGGACGAGTACGGAAAGGATCCCGAGACCATCGAAAAAAATTTCAAGATCTAATCTTCTCATGAAGAAAGAAACGCTACGATTTTCCCTTCGATTTTTCGCCCATATGCATCTCTCTAAACGTGGAATTTTCCATTCCTACAAAAAATATCGAAAGTCTTTCACATTTTGTTACCTCTCTTGATCAATCATCTTGTATAAAGAGCTAAAAAATGTAGGTATATTTGGTCAAGTGACCGCTTAGACCAAGAATTGCATAACAGGTCTAGTTGAGAGAAACTTGTCACGTGGCAGATTTTAAAAGGCATCCAATACGAAAATACGGTAGTGACCTGAGATTTTTTGATGATTTTCAGAAATGAAATGATTGTTTATAAAGGGGAATAGATATTTGTTGTAGCTTTCTGACAAGGGGAGATATTTGACCTCAAAGTTGTCTAATATTTGGATGAATCGAAAAGTCTAAAAACACAGTCGTTTCTTGGCCTCTGTCGTCGATCAAATTGACTGATACTTGTGGCGAACATTAAGTAAGGATGGAAAAATATGTGTGCAAACCCTCAAAGTAATTTGTTGAATACCATCGCAGTGAGAGCTTCATACATTTAACCTATTTTGAAGCGATTTCCTTGGAGAAAACCAAGAAAAACCGGGGGGGTGGTCTATCTCCCCCCGGAAAAAACCAAAACAGAAACCAGTGTGTCTTTTTGAGTTTTGGGGTAGACCCTTTAAGACTTTTATCATCGAGAATCGCTGGCCAGGCTAAAAATATAGAAATTCTGAAAAGTTGCCTGAAAAAACGCTCTTAGGGAGATATATTAAAAAAAAACATTTAAAAGTTTGAAAAATCAAATGTTTACGAGAAAATGGGGAAAAACGAAAATTTGGGTTTTTACCTACTTATTCATGCAAAAATACAGTAAAATTGACCAACTTTAGTATGTTAGTACTGAAGGAGGATGTTTCGTGAGAAATCGGGGGTGTTTTTACTTCAAAATATAATTCAATTTATTTTTATTTGTGGCACTTTTAGGAGCTTTGGTTTAATTTTAAAATTTACATGATTTTTTAAGAAAGTACTCTCAAACGCTTGTTGCAAAAAGCAGAAAATCGAGCAACTTCAAGCCTTTAAAACGCGTCTTGGTATGTGAGAAATCATGTCAAACTGCATGCTGGCACAAAGTTTGGTCCTTATACGAAAATAATATGAAATAACAAATTTGCCGGCAAAATAAAAGAGTTTGCAAGGCACCATGGCCAAGGTCAGGAATTTGCATTATGCAAATCAGTTGTAGAAATCGTACTTGAGAGCTACGAAGAAAACAAGATAGTTAAAGATGGTTAAACAATTATTTGATATGGAAATGATATGAAATTATACAAAAATCCGTAGACATTGCTGAAGAGGGCTGCAAATTGATGTGTAGATGCGAAATTTTCTGTTAATTTGAATTGCAGAAGACTCTGTTATGGTTGACTCACTATTTCAACAGCACTACCTTCACCTAACTATAGATAAGGGCCGCTGTATAGTTCACCATTTTTGTTGACTACGTGTTTATTATCGACACTATTCTTAGTTGAATGGCTAATTTTTCTGCAACAGCGATAACATTTCGTTTGAAATATCTTGGATATCTTGAAAAAAGTCATGTGAGTAAACAAATTCATGCAACACCGCAAGCTTCTGCTGTGTAGTTTTTAACCTAAAGATAACAGCCCAACTATTTTTTTTTTATGCTATTTGCTTTTATTTTTTTTTGGAAAATGGCCACATTTCTGTCATTAAACTTGATAGAAAGGACTTATGTCACGGTAGCAATATAATTATACCGTGTTGCAGTCTGGGCGATAATTCTCTATGATGCAATCACGGTCTTTTTCTTAGAGGTAAACAAGCGCGAGGCTTTTCACAGAGCATATAAGGAAAACGATGTCATTCTGTAATTTTGCTTCTCTTCTTGGGGGAGCTTGTGGTGCAAGTTGTGAAAATCCAAACGTGGTTGACTTTGTCGGATTGAAAGACTGTACTAGGGAAGTTACAGCTCACTTGAAGAGTTGTAACATTTTGACGGATGTTGAAAGCGTCAACAACAACGAAAGGAAATTATTACCAGATTTTTTTTTTATATTACTTTAGTTTAAGGACCAAACTTTGTGCCAGCATGTAGTTTGACATGATGTCACACATACCAAGACGCGTTTTGAAGGCTTGAAGCTGCTCGATTTTTCGCTTTTGCAACAAGCGTTTGACGGCACTTTGTTAAAAATCATGTGAATTTTAAAATTAATACTCCTTAAAATGCCACAAATGAAAATCAAATAAATTATATTTTGAAGAAAAAACACCCACAATTTCTTACGAAACATCCTCCTTCCGTACTAGCGCACTAAAGTTGGTCAATTTTAATATATTTTTTGCATAATTAATTGGTGAAAACCCGAATTTTCGTTTTTCCCCATTTTCTCGGGCACATTTAATTTTTCAAACTTTGAAATAATTTTTTTGAATATATCTCCCTTAGAGGGTTTTCCAGGCAAATTATCAGAATTTTCGGTTTTTTTAGCCTGGCCAGCGGTTCTCGATAATTACAGTCATGGGCGGTCCATTAGTCGCTACACTTCAACATATCAAGGTTATGAGATTTCGTAGATATGGTAGATTTCCTTGTAATTCTGTACCTAGTTGGTTATTGAAAAAGTTGTCAAAGGATCGTCCATTCGGAATCGTTGAATGAAGATTGTTGTTGGTTTGAACTAATGATAAAAAATAAATAAATAAATAAATAAATAAAAAATTAAAAAAAAACTAAAAATATTTCTGAGAGCAAGCGTGAAACGGAATTCTAAATCGAGATTTGTAACATTTAACCCGGCTAAATGATCCACTATTGTATGAAAAATATTTAGTGATCTTGTTTTGGTCTCCTAATGCTTGCTTGTTCCAGTAATACAGCAAAATAGAGATAGCGTAGGTTCTCAGTGTCAAAGGTCTAAGTATTTCACTAAAGCATGGTCTATTATGTCCTATTTGCACATTCAAACCACTCAAGCCTTTGACTGATTTGGCGCATGAGCTTGTGTGAGAATAGGTGTCATCGAATTAATATTGAAGCCTCTATCATAATTAACCAATTTATGTTTGCAGTGTAGGCTAACGCAAAGGGGTATTGCACTTATGCTGTCTCTCAAGTTGATCTGGATTTTGAAATTCCTGAACAGTATGCGAGAATGCAAAATACGCACTGAATTGCATTTTCGTCTTTGCTACTGAACTTGATGTGAAAAAAATGGACCTTTTTTTTTCTCGGCGGGGATGTAGGTAATGAAGCACCAAGGTTTGACTTCAAGAGACATCTTTACCTAGTATGTCAGGTCATGTAATAGTACTTCATTCAAATTTCTTCTTATTAACGTGCGTATGTGCCTATGATTCACAAAAGATAAGGCTGAGAATTCCCTTCAGACCTGATTAAAAGTTCTGATAAAGTGGGTAAACAAAACGTACAAGCCAAGGTAGTCTATTGATTTCGAAAATTTATCCTTCGAAATTCGTTTCTTTGATGCTGAAAGTTACCAGACGACATATCTACACTGTACTTGATAGCCTTGATCCTTAAGTAAAGCCGCAACGTTGCCATGTCTGTTGTCTTTACCAGGTGGGGTATTTCATTTTCTTCTAAGACTCATTATAATTTAGTTCTAACAAAGCGTTTTATTCTACAAAATGACCTTTCGGACGACCTAAAAAAAATTCTAGGGGAGCATGCTACCTGTTTACCACTCCAAGAACTTCATTTCTTCAGCGGATATCAATCCGACCACCCTTACTAATCCTGGATCTACCCGAGCAGTAAATTTACGCCATATAATAAAATTTATTTCCTTTAGGTTCTGATCTGCTTTTCCTGGCACTTTTTGTGACTTATCAAATTCTACCATCAACGCGAGCACTCCCAATAGATTGCCAAAAGAACACAGCAGTCTGTTTGGAAGAAATAATGAAGGAAGTCACCCAAGTTCGATTTGAGGTTAAAATTCTCACGGAGAACAAAACATTGGCGAAACGTAAGCACGATTCCTCTTCGTTCATATGTGTTAATACCTTTATTAACATTTATTCATTTCAATTTTTATTGTAATTTTTCATGAGTATATCAACTGTTATTACGTTGTATTTCATCAACAGCTAAGAACTGTGTTGAACTCTACCATTCCGGTCAAAGGATCAGCGGTATTTACACGATCGACCCAGATGACTCAGGCGCTTTTAATGTGTATTGTGACCAAACTACTTCTGGTGGGGGATGGACAGTCTTCCAGAAGAGAATGGATGGCTCTGTTGATTTTAATCGCACCTGGAATGACTACAAACATGGCTTCGGTAACTTGGTCGGTGAATTTTGGCTCGGACTGGACAAGATAAACCGTCTGACACAAAACATAACAAAGAACATGCTTCGAATAGATCTGGGGGTAACTACGCGCCAAACTGTTCACGCTGAGTAGGAATGGTTTGGGATTGGAAAAGGACGGCTGACTACCGGCTGTACATTGGAAATATGACAGGTAAGTAGCCCGTCTCTTTAAACATTCATCGTTCGATTTTTATGTGTTACTTCCCCTATCCACGTCGTCTGCCCCATTCACACCATAGCTTAAAAGCTGTTTTGCTAAAATCGATTTAAAATTTATTTCTTCAGGGGTATTGCTTAAACTGATCTTTGTCCACTTCAAATTTTGCACATTTAGCGAATTAACAAGTTAGTGACATCTTGAATCCTATGAAAAACTGATTTTTAATTCAATCCCTTCCCCCAACCCCACGTGACCTGCAAATAATGGTTCGTTCTGGCGTGTGTTTTGCTGTTAATTCTGCCCATACCTAATTGAGTCCGCGCTCCTCCGTGGACAGTTTGCTTTCGAAGCTGCTTGAGATAGAAAATTCATTCAACTTGGCTTTAACAAAATCATCAAATTTGAGTATTTACCATTTTGCCCGATATTTTTGTATTTCGATACCTGCCCTACTTCGTCGATTACTAGCTATCGAGTTTGAGGTGTCAAAAGTGTTATCTTAATACTAATATTATGGAATTTTCTTTTTTTTTTTTTTAACAGATGCAACTGTTTCCTCTGATTCCCTCAATCCTCACAAAGATCTCATTTTTGGTACCTGGGATAGAGATCCTGCTAATTGTACTCTAAAAAGAGGTGGAGGCTGGTGGTATGGCAGCAGTAGTGATTGTGTTGTTTGGTCGAATCTCAACGGAATTTATCCGCATTGTGGAAAGGAAACCTGGGCCGATATCCATTGGAAAAAATTAGATCCAAACAATCCCAAGGGCAGCGCCCCCACATCAACTGAAATGAAAATTAGACCGGTGGATTTTTTTTAAAACTTTCTGACGGCAAAGTGTTCATGGAAATAGTGATTTCTGCGTCCTCTGATCGGTCGACTTCGCTTTTATTACAATTATGATTGGCAGATTAATGATTGAGTGGCCTTTTTTGAATCTGAATGAATTCCAACGGGGAAACACCATCGTTAACTGTTTCCCTCGCGACCAGGCATCAAGTGCAGTAATCTGCATGCATGGTGATGTTAATTCTTTTTTCGTACTATTCATTGTTGATTTGAAAACGCTGTAATTAAAAAAAAAATTAGTTCGCTTGCTGTCGAACTTAAACCAAAATATCTGTCAATTCAGTTTTTTAATATCTGACAAAGAAATATATTCGGACCAATCGATGCCGTTTTGAAGAAGTAATTTGCACGACAAGAAACAAAACGTGTATCATTTTCAACGCCTTTTGATTCTAGATTTTAAAATGCTTAGAATATTCAGATTAGAAGAAGTGACCAAACTATACACTGAACCATATATAGTTGACCAAATGCGATTTGAGAAAAGGATCTTTTCATCACATCGAAGTTAATTCAGAAGGATTTATACCTATGGAACATTCTAAGCTACTAGCTGGAGTTCCTGAATGTTTTTACTTATTTCTACAGTTTTTACGTGTCCTGATGATTTTTAAAGCGTCACTATCTAAGAACTATCAAAAAAGCGATTTAAGATTATATCAAAATATGTTACTTTGGGATATGTGAGTTTTAACGTGTGAAGAAATAAAGACTGTTGTTCATTATTGATGCTTTTACGTCAATGGCTAGACGATAGTGTTACCAACACTCGAGGATTTCCAAGCCTACAATAGTTATTCATTTCCATATTTGCCAGTGAAGCTTCTTGCGTACGATTGACAAGCATTTAAGACTGTAAAGGTATGGAGGTGTAAGTTGAGGACCTAAACAACTTCACATGTACTTCATTTTGCACATTTTGTTAGTACAAATAAACTAAAACCAAAACAAAACGAAACTCAACAAAAGAAAAAACACACGTGTCCCAAACTAGGATAGATACGAACGGAAAACGCTAATTGTAATCTCTTACGAATTATCAGTGAAAGCCTGGATAAAGAAGGATTAAAATTTGATTTCGGTCACGGTATGGCAAGGAAATGTACGTACTTTGACCCTTACTTGTCTGTGCACTGTTCTAACATCTGATGAAACTGCAAATTGATCAAAATGAATGATGAAAAAGTCTAAAAGTTTCTCCCTCAAAGCCACGAAGTAGCACAAATAGCAAATACCGAACTTGGAAAATTCGTCATACATTTTGCTCAAATCGTTGTATGGTCCGACTCTTCAAAACAGATGGCGACTGATCCTTAAGCTACTAAGTTAATTGAAAGTCCGAGACACTGAGATAAGGTTTTTATTCGTTTCCCTCTCAATTTAAAATCTCTAAAATACAAAGTCAATACTTTTGTTTAAAATGCTTAGAAACACTTTGTTTTCGTTTTTTATCGACCAACTTCTTTAATTTTGAGAGAATTTAAGAGAGTTTAAGTAATCTTCGATAAATCTTGATTGTTGTGTTTTTTTGGATTGAACCTTTGGGTCTGATTGCCTTTGCGAGTTGAATTGCTGCCAGAATGAAGTCGTTGAATTTCCGATCCATTACGTGAACGGATTGCTGCCACCTTCAAGTCGCTTTAAGGCAGAATTTCTTCTTAAATCATCAACAAAATATCAAGCAGACAAGTGTTAAGGATAACGAGAAATATCAGTAAGGGAATTATTTATTGCAGGATCCAATATAAACTTCCCCAAAATAACACCATAATAATCGAATGGCAGCCAGTAAAGCGAATTTCTGATAAGATCGTGTGAGTAAAAGGCCGGTAAAGGGGTAATCACGGCTATCACTGCACTGAAGAATCTATTAAGCATTAGAAAGTGGACCGTGAGCAACTCCAATCTTCCGTCATTAGGATTTCGAGTCCTTAAAGCGCAAATAATATCAAGATTAGCTCAGGCATAAGCGGCATGCAGAGGATAGAGTAGGATAAAGTTAGGTGACATGAATTCAATCAGTGGGTCATTAGAAAAAAGAAGATTCAGATGACGAATAATAAGATTCAACGTTTTGCAACGGAAGAAGGTTCTCGGCGAAAAACCTTGCTAATGGTAAAATTCACATATGTTAGTTATAAGACTCATAGATGCTCCAAAAGGTTATCTGCAGTTTCTCAAGCTTTTAAGGTGATGTTCTTCGGTGATTGAAACAGGCATTAATGGAAAAGGAACTTCGAGTCGAACCTATGACCTCCCGAAAAATACTTCAGATGCTGTACCACTGAACTATTGAAGACTCGTGGCGGGCTGAGTCGTTTATCTTGGTCCATGGAGACAGACTTCCTCTATAATTCTAGGATAGGAGTGTCGACATGTGATGCTATTGCAAAATAGTGATGTAAATGAAGACGTTCAATTTTAATCCTAGTCATTTGTTTTTTATTTTTTATTTTATTTTTTCTTGTTGTTTCTTTGTTTGTTCTTTCACGACTCAAATATGGTGCGACAAAGTTTGATAAAGAAAGCATGACGTCTCAATTAAAACGCACCTATTAGCCACTGAGTGCGCGCGTACTAAGTTAAACTTTTCCTCCATAATCATGAGTCATTTAGGCGGGTATGCTGACGCTTTTGTCTTTACTGTTAGCATCCGAGTTTCCATTTTTCAATCCGATCTTTCGCAATGTCCGCCCGGTGGGATGTAGCAGGAAATATATTATTGTGGAATGCCTCTCAATACCTCCCTAAAGGAAGAAAGAAAAAAACAAAAACGAAAAAATTCAGATAATTTAAAACTGCAAATTTGTCAAAGTAAAATTGTCTGATTAGCATTTTCTACGTTTTACGTGAGGAACTGAGGCTGTTATCGTTAAAGCCTTTGGAGAGAAAAATAATTGACCGGAACTCCTAAATTAATTTTTGTTCCGATATTGAAACAGTTCATCTCTGTGATAGTGCGGTTTTGCCACAGGCTTGGTAAAGTGGCGACTAAGCAACGAGGAGATAAACGAACCTTTTAAAATCTTAAGTACATCATTGTGCGGACACTGTGCTTGACAGGACCCCGTGCATGCCCGTGTTCTTCTTAGTTGCATTTTCACGACTTGATTGACCATATTGGGGTTGTATTCTTTCATGGAGTTACTAGAATGGGGTTGCACAATTTTCGTGGTCTTGAGGGTGAGAAAAGTCTCGTATATAGGGATTTACAAATGGGAAGATCTACAGTCAAAAAGTTGTCACCGTATTTCGCGCTGTTGTTTAACAATCAGTTTGCAGTAGAGGGTAGAGGCATGCCCAAGGAGCGACTATGATGGTTAAAAGCGAAAAGGTCGACTTTTCTTAGAGTCATATTTCAGCAGTCAACATTCCTTGGTCACAGAAACGTTGTTCGGGCTTCCCTTAAGTAATCACATCAAATGTAGGAAGAAACAAATACACCCTGTAAAAGTTTTGCATTTTATTATTTTGCCTTCTATTACATATCCTTGTAAATTTCTAGCAAATCAGTTCTTGCTCTTAGATCAATTTAGAGCGAGTTATCAGCAAATATTTACATTTGCATCTCTTGCGAAAACGTTTCCAAGCATGGGAATGAAAAGGTTAGTATTGCACTTTATTTGCCTGCTTTTGCAAAGGGGGTAATGCTTGTGCAGATTCATGTCGTAGTTAAAAATTTGCAGTATCTGCAAAGGTGAAGGACACAAAGAGCACAATGTCACGTTTATATCACATGTGCACATGAAAGACACAAGAACATGAAAATCAGCACGTTTACACCAATTTATATCCCAACATTTTCAACACGTTTGCTTACTTTGCAACCAGAGAAAACCCAAATTTTCGTATAGTGTATTTCACCTTTTTTTTCTGTCTTAAACGCAGAAATATCTAATCAATAATATTCCGAGACAATGAGACCAGGTTTTTACTTATTTTTCCTCTCAAATACACCAAGCCAACGATTTATTTGAAAATGCACAGACGCAGTTTGTTTTGGCAATCTTTTTGTCCAACTTCGTTGCGTTTGAAAGAAATTAAGAAAATTAGTAAATCCTCAAGACGTGTTCACTAACAT